GATTGACGTGTCATAAAATTGGTAAGGCAAAGAGGGAGTTGCTAATCCCCTTCACTATACGTCCCTGCATTAAATGAATATAACTTGTAAATTGATTATGCATGTGTCATAACGAAATACTTGTACCTGGTGTTTCTTCCTAAAAATCCTATACTGAATAAAAATGCAAGCGAGGATGAAAAGAGTGACGATCGAAACATACAGGTAGGAAAAACGACTAGACGAAAATGATAATAACATCATTCTAACATTTGTTAATTGTAGTCATTGTCCCATTTCCTACACAATGTATAGTAATTGTGACCACAGTTGTCCAGACGTCAGTATACATACCTGACATAAGACCATTGATATAATGACGCTGGCCCAACGTTACATTCCTGCACAAGATGCGGTACCAGACATTAGACCAACGACGTACTGATGTCACCCAATGTTATATTAGATACGTTGAAAGAACATTGGGCCAACATCAGAATTAAATTAGCAGTTGTTTAACCATCGCTTAATTAGCTCCTGAACGTCAAGCCAACTTCACTACGATGGACAAATGTATGTCGAGCCAGCGTTGGTTGCCGTTGTCGGGCCAACATTTGGCCAACATTTGACCCCAGGGACCTGAGCGTTTGTTACAGCTATATTTGGACTTAATTAAGCTAAAGTGTTAATAAGGTTGAGGTCATAACACACAGCGCAATATGCCGAAACATGCAGTGTCGGTTGCTTTAGCGAAAAAAATGGCTGCGCTTCCAGCCAATCACACCATGGGTCTTGGCACACGCTGACCTCAACCTCATTAATATTAAAAAAAGTGGCACGATGACTGCGAAAAACTTTGAAACTCTGAAATGGCATGTGTTTTTGGAGGAAATGGAGATCATGTCCGCGAAAGGATAATGCATTTTACGTGCATATAGGAAGTTTCAAAAAGAAAAATTATCCATCTTTCCAGTAGATCAACTAGAAATGTTGTTTATGATGTAAGAAAGTTAGTTGGGGTCGACTTTTCGACATCGAGAGCTTTCCGCCCTTCTCGTATAAATGATCATGTGAACGATGCGCACGAGATAACTACGACCAGTACAGTACTGGCGTGTTTGTTCACATTCGTCCTATAATACCCAAATCTAGCTATGAAGCCAGCTTTAATTTGCCGGTGCTCCAGTACCTGTCTATTAGGGACCGTGCAATGATCAATGAACGAGGCATAATCCCCACGTCCAGACTGTTTATTAGTATAAAATGTACCCTATATTAATTACCCTTTCTTTTCTTGTCTCCCACACGAACAATGTGCTGAACAACGTCATCATCTGCTACAAAAGATACCGAGACACATTTTCTACGAGGTCGTCCCGTCGCCATATTTCCCGCGAAATCGTAAATATGAGGAACTCTTCACTTAGGAGGTAATTTTCTCGTATTATACGGTAAGCAGCCCTGATTTGGTTGATAAGAGATTCTAATTAATTGCTGTTGGAGACTAGTGAAGATATGCTTATTTTTATGTCTTAAGTCACTGTTCAGTTTTTGTTTTCGTCAGGTAAACTATGTGTATACTACGACGGTTTTTAAATTTTCTTAACTAAGTGTACGTGTGCTTCTTTCATTTTCCCTATATATTGCACAGAATGGACGTGAAGGGGTTATGTCATTGATTTACATACTTTGATAGTATTAATTCACTCTGAAATGCTTCCATTTAATTCTATTTTCTATTATAATGACTATATATATGTAATGCCAGTCTAGCAGCTGAGCCAGACCAGGATTCGAACCTGGGACCACTAAACTCTAGCCAGAGGCTCTCTCCAATGAAGCTTCTAGGGTTACATTTGCGTATCCCGGTTGAAACGGAACGTGTGGCGCAGAAATTTTCCACGATTAACCAACGCACTTGGACCGTTCTATAAGCAGAGTTAAAAATGCACAGTAATGTATCAAGAATAATATGCCCTTCTTTCTTCCATCCACTAAATTACATAACGTATCTTAAAAACTACATGGGACTTGACATTGTTTTAGAAATAAACAACGCAAACTAGCAATAGTCAGCATTTTAGTTTCGGTCAGGTACGTCTGGACCCCTCAATCTACACGTGCTAAATTTTCCTGAGGTCAGCCTCGGTCCAGATCTGTGCCTGTCGTTTTCTTTACAGGTCAACCGTTTCAACCGAATACGCGAATGTACCCCTGGTCACCGAAAGGCAACTGATCAAGTCTTGATATGCAAGAGACGCATTAAACAACTATTTAGTATATGTACGCCGTAAAAAATGCCACATGAGGAATTTATGCCAGGCATAATTTATCGATCTCACAAAATCAGAAATTTGATTAACTTAATTTGTGACACTTCATTATATTGTTTAATGGAAAGCTACCCCAATTGATATGGTATGATACAATGTCCATAACAATTCTTATAAAACAGAACATAAAAAGTTGCTACGTTAAATGAAAATAATGTCTCATTGATGTGGCATAATATAATCATATAAAAAAGCCTTTCTGTCATCTGATTGGCTTATGACATTTTTGAGTACTGTACCATATTTGCAGTAATAGTGCTAAAATGTTACTTCTGACATTGTAGTCCATATGTACCGTAATACATTGTACCAAGTTTTTCAAAATACAACTGTCCATTTTACCAGTTGTCTTGCAAAATTTGCTCCTTTTAACATCTTTTCTGGCTCAGATAACAGAAGATATATATATATACAAATGTTGGTATACAACTTTACAGGCCCAGATCTTGAGTGGGGCCTTTTTGTGTAAGGATACAAATATTTTATTTGCTCAGACAGGGATATGTATATTGGTATATTTCTTGAGGTTTATAGGGAGCTACCAGGGTTGAACTGAGCTCTGGGTTAAGGTTCCAATACAATATGTTGTCTTCATGTAGGAGGTATTGCATATGCCATTACAGGTTTAGATGCAGCTAGTAAATGGGAAGAGGACTGGCTCATGAAATTCCACCTAGACAAATGCACCCTACTCGCTATATCACCAAAACCGCACACAAATTAAACACCAATACACACTCCATGACCACACTCTAGAATCTGTAACTTCAAACAAATATCTAGGCATCACACTTCAAAACAACTTAAAATGGGACAAACACATTAACAACATCACATCAAACGCAAATAAATCACAAGGCTTTCTCAAACACATCCTAAAAATAAATTCACCACACATAAAAGAACATGCATTTAAGGCCATTGTAAGTCCAAAACTCATATACTGTTCTTCAGTTTGGGACAGCACGATACGTCGTAAACAAATACCATAACACAAGCTCAGTCACAGATATGATACACAACTTTCAATGGCCAACACTACACACACACAGAACAAGAACACACATTATTCTTCTCTACAAATTGATATACTAACAAGTAGGAATACACACTAACAATCTCATCCCTGGAGACACCAGAACACGTCAAGGACACAACCTTAGTTACAGACATATCTACACATCCAAAGACACATACAGACACTCATTCTTTCCATACACGTTAACACAGTGGAACCTCCTACCAAAAACAATAATCAAATCAGAAACACTAGTAGAATTCAGGACATGCACCACATATAACATAATCGAACATATACAAAACCTACAACAGAACTAACACTCCCTGCTTTTAACCTGCTTTTATCCAATAGGAAATTAAAAAATATAAAAAACCAAATTGCTGTACATAGCAAAGCACTACAGCACAACACCACAATTCCTTAATTGTCAATATTGACGGAGGAAGGTTTAAAGATGAAGATAAAGATCATGATCATGCATCTTGTATTCTGATATTACACCCTACATCTCTCATCATCTTGTATTCTGATATTACACCCTACATCTCTCATCATCTTGTATTCTGATATTACACCCTACATCTCTCATCATCTTGTATTCTGATAT